ATATTATCTTGTCTTTTTTCATCGATGCCATATAATCTCGTATTTAACACAGCGTTGTAAACTAACGGAAAGTAGTAATATTATGACATAATTTCGATCGGAGCATTTAGCGATGAGATTATAACATTTCGTTCTGCATATCTGCACCAGATATTGGTGCCAAGTTTTAAATGAACACAGCATTAACATCTAAAAAAATTGTTTAAAGAGTTAAGGCAGGCATTCACTAGATCGCGTTGTACCCATCGGACGGACCGGATGCTAAGGAGTCCTACCGTCTGTAAAATAATAAAGAAACTGAGATATCAGCCCTATGCTCCAAATGGGAGCAAGAGGAAGCACAGGTAATTCATAACTACGTAGTATTTTTCGTAAGCTTGAATCACTTCTTGTCGATGCCACACATCTTGATCAGATGTGTTCGCGCCGAAGGGGAGTAGGGACATTTTGCATGGTTGGATCCCACCCACAAGACTAATTTACTATGAGCTGAACAGGGATTATGGAGAATCAAGTAAAATCTGTTCACCACACTCCTGATAACAGCAAGAGGGGATTGATTTTAAGGATTAATGTCTGTAGGAAAATATGTACGTGTTGAATTGAGTGATGTATAGTATAGACATGGTAATGCGGTAATCCACAGAAATAGTTGGATTTATGAGTACACAGACAGGCTGACACATAGACAGGATTGAGTAGGCAGGACAGGCAGATTGCAGAGACTCATTTCCGCCACTTGCAAACAATTGCTGCCTCCTACATGCTGGTTTATTTCTCGGCGTATTCTTCAGCCCTGAAGATGGAGGTTGCATACTCCTTTGAAACTTCAGTTGACTTTCAACGGACTACATGGCGTAATATCTAAGAAGACAAGACTCTTTAGTATGTAACTATTTTATGCAGTTTCGATCTAAAGGCATTTGCCTTAAAAAGACAAAAGGCATTTGCGGAAGCCATTGCTACGAGTTTAATATGTGGTCTGTCTTAGGTTTGAGCTGAATACACCAGAACGTTAGTAAGGCCCATTTTCTTGTGTCATATAAATTTATAATTTGTATGGTAATTTTTTGTTTTTTGTTTTTATTGCTACTGGGGTGGGACCAGGTCCCTCGTACTGCAGCCACTTCTGGCGTATTGTACCAGCCCCAGATGATAGGTGAAGGTGATTGTGGAGCAATTGGTGGAATGAAGATTGGCAGGGGAAACCGAAGTACTCGGAGAAATCCTGCCCCACCGCCACTTTGTCCACGACAAATCCCACTTGACCAGACCCGGGATCGAACCCGGGCCGCCGCGATAGGAAGCCAGCGACTAACCGCTTGAGCTATGGCGCTGCCCAATTATACGTTTACAGTTCGAACATTAACATATTGTCATATACTCAGGAGAATTCACAAGCAGACTTCTGTATTCGACTCTGCCTAGACGAAGAAAAGGTGGCAACCCTCGTTGCTTATCTTATTTTACGACTTTGTATCAACTGCTGAAGTTAAGTAGCTTAGACTGAAGCGGCCATGCTTATGTTACGCTTTTCTTATTCTCTTTGAGGATTTATGTGGATTGTGTAGCAGAACTGCCTGCCACCAAGCGGATTATGAACAATGTACCCCTCGAGTGGTAGTCATAAGGGCGTTTGATGACACTCACTCGTCTTACGTTACATTAAATCCGTCGTTCTGTGTATACTGTATAGAGATCTTGCGTCATAACATTAGTCATGAAGTCTATGTGCCCCATTCGACCCGAATCCCTCCTTGTTTCCTGGACACACTAATGGCATACTCAAGGCAGACTTGAAACACTATGGCGATGAAACACGTTTTTGTTCCAAGCGACATTCTGGTTGTACAGAACAGGCCATTGGATCGTCGTGGAAGAGACAACTTATTTGTATTCAGTGCTGTAACAGCAACATTGAAGAGCCTTTATAGTATTTTCACAGTGTGATAGTAAAATCCGAACATGCAATTTTCAGCGATAGTTTCGTGAGTTTACATTGCCTTATGTTCCTCGACCATTTTCTTAGATACAGTCTGAGATCATAAACTGGTGACCGCGTACGCGTGCCCTACTGCTTTACGTATTCAGTTTGTGGACGCTGTTGCTTCCAAGCCTCAAAAAGAAGAGCAGGAAATTTCAGTCTCTGGTCCTTACGGTCAATATTTACATTTCGTATTTATTGCGCATAAAAAATAGACAGCTTACTAGGAAATTCTTTCTTGCCACAAAGAGGCGAAGAGTGGTCGAACTTCGAAAGGATAACATCAACGTTATGGAGGCGTTGCTGACACAAGAGACACTTTTAAAAGGGAGTGTAAGATGGGGACTTGGCCTATGGGAAACGTAACAGATGGCACTTGTCGAGAATTTTGGCCCATGGAAGATTCGTAAGACTGGGCATTGTCAGAGGCTGTGCTTCCTTTGTTTCGAGTATATATATCGAGTGGGCTCAAGCGGTTAGTCCCTGGCTTCCCACCGTGGCGGCCCGGGTTCAATCCCGGGTCTGGTCGAGTGGGATTTGTGGTAGATAAAGTGACGCGGGAGCGGGTTTTTTCCGAGTACTTCGGTTTCCCCTGCCAATCTTCATTCCACCAATTGCTCCACAATCACCCTCACCTATCACCTGGGGCTCTTAAAATAGGCCAGAAGTGGCCGCAGTACAAGGGACTTAGTCCCACCCCACTAGCAATAAAAAAAAATAATATACACTTCCCTGTTGCCACGTAGTAACCGTGGTGTCCACGTCACCGCGGGGGGTGGGGGACACACTATTTAATGGTTGCCTAACACACCTGCTCTACTCTTATATCACAGCTGATGGAAGGGGGGGAACACACTGTTTACTTGCCTGTTACGTCACCGCGGAAATGGTTGCCTAACACACCTGCTCGACTGTTACCTCACCGCAGGCAACGCGTCTTACCGCGTCGCGCGGGGAACAGAATGTATGTTGGTGAAGAATATATATTAAAGATTTGCTATAGTCAGAGGGATGCGAAAAATATTTGTGGAATTTCATTGGCTTTCACTTGTAACACACACATGCTTGTTAATGAAAAATCCTCGAATGTCTTCCATATGATTCTTCACCATGAAAAGTGTCCCGTATAGGTGGTGTTGAACATGTTGTTTACTTCTGGAATCCCTTTTGTCTGAACTTGGTTTTTTGAAGCACGAATGACATGGTGAATTTTTTGGGTACCCAGAAGCATTGGAGCTTTCTGAACCTCTTGTTGAGCAGCATCACTTCTTTGCTATTGTATTTAACATTACAATATTCAAAGGGAACAGGTCATCTTTACAACGTAACAGCTCCTTCCCTCTTTACCATTTTACAGTTTGGGGGGGGGGGATCACTGCACTTGTCCCTGGTTCTCTTGTGTCCCCAGTGCACCTCTGGTGGGCTGGGGTGTCAAAGCTTTGAGCGTTACTGAAAGAAGTTGGTATCCCCAAAATAATTTAATAACATTAAATAATAATACCAACAAACAAATAAATACAGCATGGTAATTGCCATAACAAAATAACATGATGATTTGACCATGAATCTGNAAAGCAGACAAAAACACTTTCTGACAATACTTCTGTCTTTGCAATATTATTGAACCTCTACCCCCGACCAGCTTGGTCAGTCTAGGCAGAAAGCCCAATAAAAGAATGTAACTCACCACTCAGAAATGCTGCCCCATCATTACAATTATCAGAAACACAAATGGGACAATGTAAAGCTACACACATACCAAAAACACCCCAGCAAAACACTTCAAAGTGTTTTTCAAACTCATATCACCAAAACTGGGACAATAAAAACCCAGCTACATAGTATCCTAGCAAACCTTGTCGCAATGTTCCTAACACACATGTCGCAACACAGTGGCCCCTCACCCTCAATGGCCAGCACAAGAATGCAAACAAAATTTAGAATGAGCAACTTAAACAGAATTCCCCCACCTATCTCACTGACCACTGAAAAATAAAATAAAAGCTTCCAACCACTTCTCAATCCTAGATGAAACGTTTACATTCAAAATAACAGGAGGAAGGGGAAAATCACATGGTACATGGGAATGATGGGACTATGTAAATAAGGAAGTAAGAACACAGATGCCTTGGGTTGGGGGATAGAGGAGGGGAGGACACCAGACTGAACAGGCCACTCATCGAGCCATCAGGTAGAACATGGCTCACAACTGCTCACTTGTATGTAAACTTGTCTTCGTGACATGATCTGCTTCCCATAACAGGTTTGCTGATTTGTCTTTTAACTAGCCTTTGCAGTGTTCCACAAATACCATTGCAGGAACCTTTGCTATCTGACACTGCAATAAAGTGTAATTTGACTTCCATACCAAAATCATATTTATGATAACAGAGGTTGTTTCTATACTACAGAGCAGAACCATCAGAAAAAGAGCAAATCTTTGTCAGATCTTCCAGTTTAGCAGAAGGAATGCTGTATAGTTTGCTTTTAAACAAATGCATTGTCATTGCATACATTGTCATGATTCAAACAATCTGATTTAGGTAGGATTTGATAATCTCACAGCAGTCATTGTGAATAGTTCTATTTTCTGGGGTATAATGCCATGTAGTCTCTTGAAAGTCAGCAGTCATTTTGGAGGAACATGTGGCCTCCATCAAAGAATATGCCAGGCAGGAAATGTGCATGAAGCAGGTAGCAAGCAGAGCTCTGCTTATCCTTCAGCCCTGAAGATGGAGGCCACATGTTCCTCCAAAATATCAGTTGTCTTTCAGTTAACTACACAGTCTTATATCCGAGAAGATAGACCTCTCCGCTATGATTAAACAACAAAATTGACATGCTATGGCATTTCATTTTGTGAACAGTAGGTCACAGATTGTCGAAGAGATGTTTCGGCATTATGGCAATGAAATCCTTGAAATTCATCCTATACAATTGAGCAGTATTTTTGGAAAAAATCACAGATAACAGCAGTTTTTCCAGTTTTAAGTTTCAATGTGAATATTTTACTTACTTTTCAGGCAGATCATAGTTTTGCTCCTCAGACCACGGGTGTCATTCTGACGAATGGCACACAGACTGTATGCATACCACTTGCCTGAGACAGTCAGTGTTTTGGCTGTAACTGTGCAAACTTCTGAAAGCCTAGAAACTTCTTAGGATTCCATTTGTTCAACAATTGTCACTGTTTCACTGTCTCGTGTGCAGCACATTCTTCTAAAACTTATAAAGTTTCTTACATACACGCAATGCATCTTTTAAACCTGATTTAAAAGCTTCTGTACAGTGCACACTATATGTTACATGAATCACAAAAAGGAAACACAGCTGTTTCCACTGACACTTTTAATCACTCGATGATGAACACTGGCAACTTAAACGGTTAATCAGTGACATTTATTGAATAAATGATGTGCAACAGGATTCAATAATGTAATATTCTGCTTGCTGTTAACAAAAAATATAAAATATTTATTATATATTAAAAAATTTACAATTTTCTTATGCACATTCCACTTACCAATTTCTGACAGTATATTTTGTATTTTTGTATTTTGTATTTGGGTTCTAACAACTGAAGTTCTTTATATGCTGTACACACAGCTAAATTCACAGTTGCACCAGAGATTGAAACAGCACATTACATTCTATTTACAATATTCACTGCTCATTGTCTGCATTGACCCCTTCCATAGTGCTGATTACAGGATTCACATTCATTTAGATATTCCTTGTGTCAGCCAGCACCCTGCTTATGAGGAGGTTGGTAGGTACCATAATAATTGTATGGCTTGTGATAATTAAGAGCATAAACGACAGCGCTTCATTTACTTCTGCTTCCCTCTATTAAACTTGTTATGGTTGGCATTGTTTTCTCCATCATGTTCTAAGCCTTCATTCACATCACAGTGTTCGCCAGGTTTAGGAGTCCCAAATCAAGCAATGGATATTTATCTGTGCTTGGTATAAAAGGTCTCAGTGGTTTCTTCAACCCATTCTCAGCTTCCTTCCGCAGCCTCAGACCCTTCACTGATATCTGCTGTAGACTTCTTTTTCTTTTTCCTTCTATGTTTTCTATTTCGTTTTCTCTCTTCTATCGAGCTGTCCTGTACTGAATTAAGTTTTTCTACATCAGACACTGTGATATCCTTGCTTTCTAGTTGTGATAAGATTGTCTCTCCCCCTTCATTGCTGTCCTTTATTTTCTTAAAATGTTCACCTCCCCTTGTCATGTTGTCACCCCCACTTTCAACATCTGTCACATTGCCAGTATGAGATTTCAAGAGTTTTGAGTCATCTTCTAACAATTTCATGTCATTGGCAGTCACATCACTGTCTGGGCAACAAGACTTATGAGCAAATGGTCTCTTACATTTTGATGAGGATTGCCGGAAGGGAGGGCTCACTTCTCCAAGGCTAGGCTTATCCCATGAGCAATGTTGTGCTGCCATTGAGTCACTAGAAGTCAACTCACCTTTTGCTGATGAGGGAGATGAAGCACATGTGTATATAGGAGAAACAGAACCACAGCCTTGCCTATGATTCACCACTGATACATTCTTGTGGCTGACAGGTGCCTGTGGAGATGAGCTGGTTTTCTGTCCATTGACAGCACAAGTTGCAGTGGTGGATGCAGCACTCTTCTGTGGCACTGATGGACCTGCAGGTTCACGCTCATACATCATAATATATGCATTAGAGCCAAGGACCACTGATGATGAGATAGCCTGCACCAAACTGTCATCAAATTTATAGTAATGACCCATAGAAGTCTGTGCCACTGCAGTGTAGTGGCCACAGTGGATTGATGGGCCATCATGTATGACCATGGAAACAAGACGATATTTAAGTGGTGCTGGGCCATGGTGAGCTGACCGAGGACAAAGGAACCTTGTAAGATCCAGTCTCAGGGAGAACGAAATGTGTTTGTCAATCTTTTCTCCCATGATGTCGAACCTCTTGATTTGTATGCACAGAACTTGAGGTGGTTTCTCCAAAGAAAATTTCTTTGTAGCTGAAACTTTCCTGTGGCACTGTTCACACCAATAAGCATCATCCCCATCTAGGCATTCTTCGCTGAAGTAGGCTGCCAATGCACCATCCAATGTGGACGTATCGTGAATATCCAGAATAAAGTCTTGACAGTACTGAAATGTTGTGGACACACTACCACACTGCAAACATGTCACTTCTGTTCTGATATAACCTCCAAATATTTGATTCAGAGGTGTAGTTTCCATGCTGTAACTGTCCAAAATGTAGTCTTTGTAGCTTGTCAGGTAGGATTCTTTCATACTTCTCAGAAGATAACACATGAACTCATGGGCGTCCTCTTGCTGACCAGGTACAAGGTCCTCGCTGATGAACTGTAATTCGTTGTATATGAGGAGCGGTTTTATGATAGTGCCTCTTTTCTTCCTTGACGCTTTGAATGTCTTGTTCATTGCACAGATGATGCACACGTCTTTCACTGACCCATTAACACCTGTACAATTGCTGAGATGGCTATTATCACTGCAGAGCCAGTGGACAAATGCCGGGACATGAAATAAAGCCTGTAATGTTGAATTGAGATAGCAGGCGTTACCAACGTTAGTCATTCCACCACCTACACAATCGTTCTTTCTCCAACCCAGATGTATACTATGTGCCGGAAACAACGTTATCTTTGGTGTTGGTAGCATGGATTCAAGTTCTGGCGCCATTACTACGAATGCTTTTAAGCACGATAGACGATTAAAAATATTCAAGTCTGGTCAATCACGTTTCCCACAACAGTCTCACTGAATTAATATGATACGTGAAATCTTACTGTATTATGCGCGCACTGCGGAACAAACAACTCAGTGGCTCTCACACAACTGACCTGTCAAGTAGTGTTACGTAATTATATGTTGCAGAAACATGCGCAGTCGTTTTTTTTAAGCCTAATGCTACGTGTATTTGCCACGTGGCAAATACGGTCCGGGTCGTCCAGGTGTCCTGCATATAACTTTTCTACACGGTCACGCAAAAACACCGGTCTTAATTATTGCCGTGGACATTTTATTTTTATTTATTTATTTAATTTCTGTTAATCCATACTGCTACAACCATTGGATACTGAAAAAAAAACGAATACAGGACAGTACAATAATAATGATAATAAGACATGCAATCATTAAAAGATTTTGTCGAAAAAAAATATAAATAGTAGAACACTGTAAGCACTGATACAATGATGTTACGGTTGCCATAAAAAATAATTGTCTAGCTTTATGCGTAAAAAATTCATTCACAGTATAAAAAGAATGCCCTTGCAAATAATTTAGTGCTTTTTTAAAGCTTTTAATATCACATGCCAAGTCCTTAATATCAGCTGGGAGATGGTTATATATGTTAACGCCTTCGTAGGGGTCCTTTTATGAAACATCGTCAAGTGAGCAGTTACTTGAATACAATTAGAATTATTCCTGGTATTAAAATTATGACTTTCAGAATTTTGTCTAAACAGTGATTTATTGGTAACCATAAATAGAGCCAAGGAGAACACAGAAAACACCGATCTCAGTTATTTCCGAGGGAATACCTACACAGACAACACAAAAACATGGTCTTAGTTTTGTTGTGGGAACGTTTTTGTTTGCGAAGTAGCCGTTACTCAATTCAGATTTTTCCAGGGCAGTCCCGAATTTTCACTCGACCTGGATTTTGTCAAAGGTAATTCGGACGCAAATTTTTCCTGGATTCGGCCAAGCTGTCACGGTTTATACCACGATAAGGTGGAGACACCAACGAGGGGGGCGAAGTATATGGTACCAGTAAATGTAACTCCCCTTATTTACGTTATAATGCAACTGAATCCAGTGAAAATTTGAGTGGACACTCATGGAAAGCAAGATCTTACTGCTAAAAGTATTAGCCGAACTTAGTGTTGTTAAAGGAACAGTACTCCCCTTGTCATAATGTCTTTCAGCTACATTCATACTACCTTTTTTCATTACATAGCTGTTTCATTTTAAAACGTTTACCACGTATGCCTTGCCATAGTTCAAGAGGTTTGTCGCCTGCTTCCCAACCCGGCGGCTCGGGTTCGAACCCGGGTCAGGTGATGTGGGATTTGTGGTAGACAAAGTGGCACTCGGGCAGGTCGAGTACTTCGTGTTCCCCTGCCATTCTTCATTCCACCGATTACTCCACAGTCATCGTCGTCTGTCATCTGGGGCTCTTACAATAGGCCAATAAGGGACTGGACTCAGTCTTACTCCACAGAGAATAAGAATAAATAATAATAACGCAAGGGTGGCCTCTAGCGGCGTAGAGTTGATACTAGCTTTCTTTCACGTCGGTCACCTGGTTCACAGGATCTCATAAGCTTACTTTCTGCCCTTAAGAAAGGAAATTGGTCTAAAAAGTACATAAATATGGGGTCGCATTCACAAATCTGTGGGGCGCATATTATATTCGTTGCATCCGCCCATCTGTCTGTTTTATGCGTGAAACTGTTCGAGAATCTGTGAACGGATTTACATGGAATTTGATATTGGCTGAGGAGCGTTACTAAATATGTCAACTCATTTCTACTTTGGTTAAAATCGGCTGATCCCCCAGTCCAAAGGATCCTAACAACTGCGTCTAGGATTGCGAAACTGAAAAAGCGGCCAGGGCCCAACAAAGGGCTGTAGAGTCATTGATGATGATAATGACGACGACGATAGTATGTAATTACAGTATAATTTATGGCGCTGCCAAAGTTTTCCATTCTCTGGAGTGACGCATGTCACGTTTATAGATGGCAGGGAAGTCGGGTGTGACGTCTTACGATTCCAACGGGTAGTGTTTACTTACTCATCTGTGTAGACTGATCCTTGGCTGTGACAGGCTCATCACGGTCTGAAAATCGCTCCATTTGCATGGGTCTCCACCGCCCCGCCCACACCACTTGTTTGCTCTCAGCAAGCAGATTTCAGAGAAGCTGGGATTAACTGCTCTTTGCTCCTTGGGGGTATATCTGAGTATCCTTTTACAGGCTTGCGGCAGAGGAAAAGAAATTGCATTACTTTATATTCAGCGTTCTTCAAGACTTATGACGGCCCATTCTAAGCCTGGGTTCTTCATCATGCAAAGCACACCGAAATAAAGAAATTATTTGTAAATATAATATATTGCTGTTGAGCAGGAGAGATATGACTAAAATATTACGAATATGTAGGCGCGTAGATCGGACATCGGGGTCAGATGGGAAGTATTCCTACTTCGGATTCGAGAGACTCCGGGTTCAGATCTTGGCCTGGAGATTTTTCGAGTTTTCACTCGGTCGCTCCAGGTATAGTCCTGAATAGTACATCACAATAGGCCACGACCGCTTCCTTCCACGTTCTTTTAAATGTTTCATCCATTTATCATCCTATATTATTAGGCTGTATTCTTAGCGACTGAAATCGTTGTCAGGTAACCCAAGAACAAAACAAGAACGTTTCCGGTTCCGCTGTTTTATAAATATAATACAAAATTACGTTATCTGTAGTAATATTTCATTCAAACGGACAGCCATTACAGCTCTTATATTTTCAGAATAATGTGTTCTGATAATTGCTTCCCCGCCCTCTGTTCCAAGTCAACTGACACAGTAACTTCACGAAAGAGATCGTAAAATGGACCCGGACAGTGGCGGTGGGAGAATGGCGAGGATGAATTATATACATTTACACAGTGTGCAGATCTGCGGTTCTGTCGGTTTAGCTTAGGTTTGGTCAGCCAAATTGCGTGGCCCTAGTGCAAATATATGTACACGCTCAGCTTCTTGACTTCTGAAGAGACCCTTCACCCAGCTGCAAGGGGCTGCTGTTGGTCGTGCTCTCTGATGCATTTTCTTTTCTAATTCAGGTAAATATCTGTACCATCCTCTCTTATGTCAGTTTTTATTGAAGTTTCCCGGAATAGTTGCAGTTATATAATAGACTGTTTTTTATGATTTATAAGAAACGACTGCTTCAAGGTTCCTTCAACTGCAAAAAACAATGCAAGAGAAAACATTCAAATACGCTCAACTGCAGTAATGTTATTATAGCCTGTTAACTTCCGTTCTCTTACCCGGAGTAAACTGAGAGTCAGGCCGCTCCATAGCTCAAGCGGTTAGTCGCTGGCTCCCCACCGCGGCGGCCCGGTTCGAGCCCTGGTCTGGTCAAGTGAGATTTGTGGTGGATAAAATGGTGTTGGGGCAGGTTTTCCCGGAGTACTTCGGTTTCCCCTGCCAATCTTTATTCCACCAAATTCTCCATCATCATAATCACCCAGGGCAGGCTACAATAGGCAAATCAGTGGCCGCCGTGCCGAGTGGACACAGTTGGACTCCACCCCCCACTAAGAAAAAATTAATATCTCGATTTACATGGATTTTATTTACACGTATTTGGAATTAAACGGTCGTTGTTTTAACACGATTTTTATTAATTTCGCCGAATATTTTCTTTCGTAATTACGCGGTTTTAATTATCTTAAGAAAACATTAATATGTTTATGAAGCCAAATAAAGATGAAATGTTTTGGAAAGAATTATGAAAAAGTC